TGGCATATAAATAGAACCTGACCTTTTTTTTTTTTTTTTTTTTTCTTGAGAAGGAGTTTCGCTCTATCACCCAGGCTGAAGTGCAGTGGCACAATCTCGGCTCACTGCAACCTCCACCTCCCAGGTTCAAGCAATTCTCCTGCCTCAGCCTCCACAGTAGCTGGGATTACAGGCACCCACCACCACACCCGGCGAACTTTTGTATTTTTAGTAGAGATGGGGTTTCACAATGTTGGCCATGCAGGTCTTGAACTCCTGACCTCGTGATCCACCCACCTCGGCCTCCCAAAGTGCTGGGATTACAGGCATGAGCCATCACGCCCGGCCTAGAACCTAACTTTTTAAAGGTGTCTCATTTAGGAATCTCTTAGTGCTTCAACTTAGTTTTTTTTTTTTCAAGACAGAATTTCACTCTTGTTGCCCAGGCTGGAGTGCAATGGCACGATCTTGGCTCACTGCAACCTCTGGCTCACTGCAACCTCCGCCTCCCCAGTTCAAGCGATTCTCCTGCCTCAGCCGCACAAGTAGCTGGGATTACAGGCATGCACCACCACACCTGGCTAGTTTTTGTATTTTTAGTAGAGATGGGGCTTCTCCATGTTGGCCAGTCTGTTCTCGAACTCCCTACCTCAGGTGATCCACCTGCTTTCGCTTCCCAAAGTGCTGGGATTACAGGCGTGAGCCACCGCGCCCAGCCCTGTACTTATTATTAGTGGATGCTGATCATTTAAATATCTACTATTAGTAATCAGATGACATACAAAGGAAAGACGTCATTGTTATAAAAACCAGACAAATGATCTGGATTCATGTTTTCTTTCACTGAATAATACTCCAATGCTCTATTCTGCCTCTCAGGCTTCCTGCTGCACATGTACTTCCTGTAAGAGGAATTAATGGTTGGAGTAGGACCAATAAAGGCAGCATTCCTGACCTGTTTTCCAACTTCTTTCTCTGCCAAGAAGCCCATTATACATAAGCTTTTGGTGACAATGGCGTTCAGTTTAAAGAACATTGAGATGAAACACACAAAGAGAATTTGACACAGAACTCAGTGGCTATCAGCTCATAATTATGTTCTTTTTGGTTCAACTCAATACATTTCACAGATATTTACTAAGAAATATTTATTACCCATAAACAGAATCAAGATAACACTTACTTTCAATCTTTAAAAATTGTCTAGTTTTGGCCGGGAGTGGTGGCTCATGCCTGTAATCTTAATACCTTGGGAGGCCAAGGCAGGTGGATCACGAGGTCAAGAGATCGAGACCATCCTGGCCAACATGGTGAAACTCCGTCTCTACTAAAAATACAAAAATTAGCTGGGCGTGGTGGCACGCAACTGTAGTCCCTGCTACTCAGGAGGCCCAGGCAGGAGATCTGCTTGAACCGGAAGGCAGAGGTTGCAGTGAGCCAAGATCGCACCACTACCACTGTACTCCGGCCTGGTGACAGAGCAAAACTCTACCTCAAAATAATAATAATAATAATAATTGTCTAGTTTTTTCTCAGGCAGCCAAGAAGATGGTGGACATTGAGACTGAGCATGCCTATCACAAGCAGCTGACCATTGTTCAAAGCAAGAAGAGGATCCTGCTAAAGGAAACTGGCAAGCTAGGCTTCAGGAGGTCCAAAGAGACTATTGAGGGCATCTACACTGACAAGGAATGCCTGTTCACTGGTAACATCCCCACTGAGGGCAGATCCTGTCTGGCATGGTGACCAAGATGAAGATGCAGAGGACCACTGTCATCCACAGAGACTATCTCTACTACATCCGCAAGTACAATTGCTTCGAGAAGTACCACAAGAACATGTCCAGGCACCTGTTCCCCTGCTTCGGGATGTCCAGATCAGCGACATTGTCATGCTGGATAAGTGCCGCTCCCTGAGCAAGACAGTGAACTTCAACGTGCTCAAAGTCACCAAGGCCACAGACATCAAGAAGCAATTCCATAAGTTCTGAGGCTGAATGTCTACCCGCTCCCTGAAATGAAATAAAGTTATTTTTTCATTCATACACAGAAAATATGACTAATAGGTAAGATAACCACACAAACTTAATACACAACAAAAACATATTAAAACATATTAATGCAATTAGAGATTTCAAAAACAAAAACAAAAAACAAGCAAGCTGTGTCAAAGATATGATCAAGCACAATCCTGGCTGAGGAAATCTGGAAAGACCTCATGAGGGAGGTAACATTCGATAAATGGTCAAAGAGTGAATGAAACAATTTCTTTTTTTCCTTTTATTATAGGCAGTTTTTAAATTTTTTGGCCAGTTGTAGTGGCTAACACCTGTGATCCCAACACTTTGGGAGGCCGAGGCAGGTGGATAGCTTGAGCTCACGAGTTCAAGACCAGCCTGGGCAACATAGTGAGACCCCATCTTTACTAAAAATACAAAAAAGTTAGCTGGGCATGGTGGTACCCACCTGTAGTCCCAGCTATTCCAGAGGCTGAGGAGGGAGGATTGCTTGAACCCAGGAGGCAGACGTTGCAATGAGCAGAGATTGAACCACTGCACTCCACCCTGGGTGACAAAGCAAGACCCTGTCTGATTATCAAAGTAGTATATGATTACTGTACAGAATTTTTTCCTTTTTTTTTTGGAGACAGAATCTCCCTCTATCACTCAGACTGGAGTGCAGTGGTGTGATCTCGGCTCTCTGCAACCTCTGCCTCTTGGGTTCCAGCAATTCTCTGTCTCAGCCTCCCGAGTTAGCTAGGATTACAGGCACCTGCCACCACGTGCAGCTAATTTTTGTATTTTTAGTAGTGATGGGGTTTCACCATCTTGGCCAGGCTGGTCTTGAACTCCTGACCTCGTGATCCACCTGCCTCAACCTCCCAAAGTGCTGGGATTACAGGCATGAGCCACCACGCCCAGCTGAGAATTTTTTTAAATCCAAAAACTTATAGAAAAGAAATGTCTGGAAGCCCACAATCAAGGTGCTGGCAGATCCAGTGTCTTGTGAGGGCCTAATTTCTGGTTTGAAGATGGCTGGCTGTCTTCTCCTTGTATCCTCACATGGTGGAGAGCGAGCTCTCTAGCTCCTCTTACAAGGGGACTAATCCTATTCATGAGGGCTCCACTCTCATGACCTGATTACTTCTCAAAGGCCTCCCCTCCAGATACCATACAGGGAGTTAGGGTTTCAACATATAAATTTTGGGGAGACACAAACATTTAATCCATTGCAGGCATGTTAGAGTTGAGGTGCTGGTGAGACATGCAGGTATCTGCGAATGCAAGTTGGCAGTACAGAATATTAGGACCAGAAGTACAGAACTGGAGATCATCTTCATGGAATTGAGTGTTGAAACTGCAGAAACAGATAATTACTAAGGGAGCAAGTGCAGGCAAAAGAAAACCGGATGGCTAAGACCAAAGGCCTGGGAAAGAAAACATGCTAAGGAAGCAAAAGGATATGGTGAGGAAGACAAAGAGGAATGGTCAAAAAAGTAAAAGGAGTTTAAGAATAATATAGAGTCAGAAGTCAAAAGAGAAGAGAATTCTGAAGAGGAAGGAAATAGTCAACAGAGAAGTTGAAAGAAAAGAATAAATGAATAAAAATAGTCCCACAACTGGAAAATTTGTAGGAGTTTTAGTTGAGTGACTTGGGAGTGAAAAACCAGATTACAAAAAGGGAAGGAAAGGAAGAGTACGTACAGGAAACAAATGTGGTGTACTGGAGGCAAGAAATCTTGAATCAAGAGTCCAAGGTTCTAGTCTACCATTTACCAGTTATGTAACTTGGGATACATTCCTTAAAATAGATCTACCTTAGTTTCCTCATCTGTAAATTTAAAATGGCGATGATGATACCTGCTCCATCCCTACAATGTGAGATGAACAAATTAGAAGATACATGGAGGCACGGTGAAAGCCATACTGGAACAACACATACAAATATTATCTATCATCATTCTTTCAAGTACTTCAGCAATTGAAAGAAAAGGGAGACATGGGACAGGTACAAATAAGGTTTTGTCATTGGAAGAAAGGGCCTTCTGAGCATATTTATAGGAAGAACAGACTTAGTACTATAGTTCTACACTGTCATCAATCCTAATGGACCTTCATCTGAGAGACAGGTTAGTGGCACACACTCTAGAGTCAGACTATGTATGTTTCAATCCCAGGTCTTTTTTTTAAATTTTTTTCTTTGTATTTCAATGACTACAAATGAATCCCATTCAGCTACTTAACTTCTATGCAATCCAGTTTCCTTGTCTATAAAATGGGGATAATAATAGTATGCCTCCATAGAGTTGTTGTGAGGATTGATGTATAAACACTTAAAACTGTGTTTTATGACTAGGTACGGTGGCTCATGCCTGTAATCCTAGCACTTTAGGAGGCCAAGGCTGGCGGATCACTTGAGGTCAGGAGTTCGAGATCAGCCTGACCAACATAGAGAAAGCCCGTCTTTACTAAAAATACAAAATTGGCCAGGCGTGGTGGCACACCCCTGTAGTCCCAGCTACTTGAGAGGTTGAGGCAGGAGAATTGCTGGAACCTGGGAGGCAGAGGTTGCAATGAGCCGAGATCGTGCCATTGCACTCCAGCCTGGGCAACAAGAGCAAAACTCTGAAACAAACAAACAAACAAACAAACAAAAACTGGGTTTGGTACACATGCTCAAAAATGTTGGCAATTAATACATAAAAGTATTGTCATATGCAAGTATACATGCTTTATGTTAAAATTGAAACTACCATTCCAAAATTATAACCAAGACAGTGAAAGAGATCTGATCTAACCAACTCCATTTTGCTTCTAAACTCCAAGCTGTCCTTGTTCATTCCTGGGCATAGGCTGAACTAACTTTGGGAGGAACTTAGAGTTTAAAACAAAGACAATAATAGCCTCTTCCCAAAACACCCTTCTTACCTGAGGACTAGACTACCTTTGTAGGACTAACAAATTAGCCATAAGATTAGAAATTATTGTTTAGGAGTCATGGGGCTGGAGGCTACAAGATTCTGATCCTCCCCAAATTGTTCCTGGGGATAACATCGCTATTGTAAAACCTAGGATCAGTGCTTGAGATATTTTGCAGACCCTGTACTTGATAGATCAGCTGGCACCACCCAGATCAATAAACTGGGTCATCTGATCTTGTGGCTGCCACCCAGGAACTGACTTTGTGCAGGAGGACAGCTTCAACTCAAAGTTCAAATAATAGGATTTCATCTCTGATCTAACCAATCAGCACTCTTGATTTACTGACCTTCCCGCACCCATCAAATCATCCTTCAACACTCTGATCCCTGGATGCTCAGGGAGACTGATTTGAATAATAATAAAACTCAGTCTCCCATACGGAGAGCTCTATGTGAATTACTCTTTCTCTATTGAGATTCCCCTGTCTTGATAAATTGGCTCTGTCTAGGCAGCAGGAAACCTGTTGGGCGGTGACAAAAGGAGCCTTTTGGGCAGTTACAAAATGATAGTGTTATTTGTCAACACGTTGATGAGTAGCATTTTCATCTGAGATGAGAAACTGCCCATCCCTTCATGGATGGAGGAGGCAGAATATGGAATGGTCAAATGTAATACCTCTCTCAGGTCCTCTTCGGTTGGATTCCACCAAGTGCTTCTTCATTTGTTCTTTTTGTTGTTGTAGTTGTTGTTGTTGTTGTTGAGATAAAGTCTCACTCTGTTGCCTAAGCTGGAGTACAGTGGTGCGATCTCAGCCCACTGCAACCTCCACCTCCTGGTTCAAGCAATTCTCCTGCCTCAGCCTCTCGAGTAGCTGGGACTACAGGCATGTGCCACCATGCCCAGCTAATTTTTGTATTTTTAGTAGAGGCAAGGTTTCACTATGTTGGCCAAGCTGGTCTTGAACTCCTGACCTCCTGAACTGCCCATCTCAGCCTCCCAAAGTGCTGGGATTACAGGTGTGCATCACAGCACCCAGCTTTTTTTTTTTTTTTTTTTTTTTTTGAGACAGAGTCTCACTCTGTTGCCCAAGTTGGAGTGCAGTGGCGCGATTTCAGCTCACTGCAACCTCCCAGGTTCAAGCAATTATCCTGCCTCAGCTTCCCAAGTAACTGGGACTACAGGCATGCGCCACCATGCCACCATGCCCGGCTAATTTTTTTTGTATTTTTAGTAGAGACATGGTTTTACTATGTTGGCCAGGCTGGTCTCAATCTCTTGACCTTGTGATTCACCTGCCTCAGAAAGTGCCGGGATTACAGGCATGAGCCACCGCGCCCGGCCTCTTTATTTGTTCTGAAATAATATGTGTTTACAAAATTGAAAGAGATTTCTACAGTTCTAGGTATTTCAACTACCATATGTGGAAGAGCTAATGTTAGTAGATAAACTGAAGATAGGCTTTGTATGACATTCAACATAAGAAGTAACTACAAAATGAATTACAAACAAAACAGCAAGTAAAGACAGCTATAATACAATAGATTGAATTGCCATATTCTTTAGGATGAGGCCTGGGATATGCTGAACATACAGACTGCAGAGGCACTCAGCCCAAGATTAGTATTGAGCCTTCATACTCGATAGTTGACCATCACAGCTAATATAAGAATTCATGCAATGATTCAGTTATTGAGTTGTAACTAGCAGGCTGGCACTGTGCTAGACTCGGAAGATACACTGAAATAGGTAGGGCAGAAATCCTAGCCTGAGAATTTTTTTCTTAGAAAGTAACATTTAATAGCAACTTGTGAATAGAAGCCATGTCTGTGTCTCTAGCAACACTGAAACAAGATGGTGGATCCCCTCGCCATTAACCCCCATATGGAAAGGGTATATGTAATTCAGAAGGGATGTGTATTAGTCTGTTCTCACACTGCTATAAAGGACTGCCTGGGACTGGGTAATTTATAAATGAAAGAGATTTAATTGACTCACAGTACCTCAGGGCTGAGGATGCCTCAGGAAACTTACAATCATAGCAGAAGGGGAAGCAAACATGTCCTTCTTCACATGGCGGCAGGAGAGAGAAGAATGAGTGCCCAGCAAAGGGGGAAGTCCCCTATAAAACCATC